GTGTTAGCAAGTGCCACTTTACTGTCATGAATGGGGCTGTGGCAGCTAATAGCAACACACAAGAAAGGCAAAGCTAAGGATGATTTTGTATTACATAACCCAGAGGGGGCAAAAAAACCCCCACCACCCAGAAATGGGCTTAAACACCAAGTGTCTTTAAAAAATGGGAAGTTTTTCCTCTACCTTTACCTTTTTGGTTTAGTTTTTAGCTTTTTGGATTATGTGAGCTTGTCTTCAAAACCAGGAAAGTTAGATCCTTCTGATTTTAAAATAAAAATGACAGATATAATCACTTGAATTCAGGATCATGGTCTAAGGGGAAAAAGAGAATTATACTGTAGTGCTTACAAGAAAATCAAGAGCTTTGGCAACATCAGTTAATGCAAGGGTTTTTGCCAACAGGGCTTGCCTTCAAATCATCATTTACTTAAAACGAATCCATTTTTTGCTCCAGTTGTATTGAAATTTTTCTTTAAAATCCTAAGTCTACACACACTACCGCAGTAATAGCAGGTAAGTTCTTACAGCAAAATACCTGGTTTTGTATAACATTGAAAGATGTGTCTATTATAACAGAATAGTGATTTTAGTTCTATTAATTTGTATATGTCTTGTTGCATCAAAGATTATGAACAACAGGTAGTTTAGAGACTTCCTTTCTCCGTGATTCACCTCATAAGATAACATTGCTTGTTATATTTTTAGGAAAAAAGTGTTTCCCATCAAAGCTAACAAGAAGATCAGAAGACAAAAATCAGTGGTAGAACTAATTTACTGTGCAGGGTAGCCAGTCATGACTGAAGAGCAAATAAACCTCCTGGTCCTTTGATGCAAAGCAGTAATCTTTGGTAGCACAGTGGAGGAAAAGATGGGGGTAACCCCTGTGCAGTTGCTGCTGCCTAAACCCAACAGGGTTTGCAAATCCAAATTTTCAGGCTAGTGGCTGAGCCTGGTCTCTGTGATTACACTCCCATTAGTAAATTAAACAAGTCTGGGACCAGTCTCTGCCCCTGAGGCCAACTGGCACAGGACATCCAACATCCATTAAAGCCTCAGACAGTGAAAGCACAAAATCTGGCTATTGGGGATGGCGGGATATATCCTCTAAACTGTGTCTTGGAGTATTTGGGGCACCTGCTCATTTGTCCAGGCTAAAACCATGGCGAATCAGCAGAAACAACTGAGCTCCTGTGCTCAGGAACATCACTGATGGTGTATAATTTACTGGTATCGGCACAGCCTGGACTTTTTTCACATTTTCATCTGTGCTAATACCCTCACCAGGTCCTTACAGCAACAGTCTGCACATGCAATGGCATTTCTTGCCCTGATTGCCATTGCTTTGGGATTTACTTAATAAAAATTCACACTTATCTACTGAGCAGTTCCACGAATGTCATCACCCCTGGCTCTTTCCTATTGCCCATGCACCAGGATTGTTTTCTGCACAGCAGTGTAGGTACAGCAGAGATTCTGAGTGCCCTCTGGTGCAAAGTCTGGCACCATCTTTCAACTGCTGTGAAAAGCAGCCAGAAAGGGGTAACGTCCTAAACCTCCACAGCTGCTTGCTAAGAAAAGCTATGCTGAAGCTGTGCTTGAGCTTGCCAGGGCCTGTGCTCAACAAGGTTTTTCTGTTTGGAGGCAGTATGACTACTTTTAGTTTCTGTATCTAACCGATTTCCAGTGAAGTTTTAAATGTCAGTGGAAAGCTACTGATCTGGGAGAAAACCAACTAAACCACAACAGAGAAAACATGGGTACATGAATTCCCTGGTATATAGTTAGCTGAACTACAGATTCAACTCCTCTGCAATTGTTCATTAACATAAAAGTGGTTGGAAGTGTCTGCCAGCGTCCTCCAGCATGATAATGCCCAATTTCACCCCTGCAAAATCCATCCAAGAATTTTTGGCATGTTGATACCTTCCGAATGACTCAGCCTCCCATAGGAAAAGGGAAAATATCAGGGAATTTTAGGAAGGAAGGGCACTGAAACAGAGCTATGAACAGTTAACTGCATAACTGCAACAGAAAAAGGAGGAAATATGAGGGCTTGGGCAGAGAAAAAAAGTAGGAATACACACAAATAGGAAAGAAAATACAAGCACTGATACACATGGAAGGGAAAATGGGAGAAAAGGATGTGGAGGGACTCTGAAATTAGGAGAAAAAAAAAAGCGGGGAGTATCAGAGAAAAGGGAAACTATGTATGTCCTGTTATAGAACAAGCATGAGCATGAAGGAATCTGGTACACGGAAGGGAGAGCAGACACAAGGACATCCTGGAATGAGACACAGAGCCAGCAGTGCCATGAGGAAGCAGCAGCTGATGAGCCCAATTCATTCAGTTTCAGAAACTCCGTGTTGTAAAATTAAATTTAAAAGACATTCCAGGCTTGAACATTTGTTTTTACAAATTACAACATTAAGGGCTTGTAGTGGTATGTAGATGATCTATATTCTTGCCTATCAGTGGCAAAACACAAAATAAAGCTGGTATAAGATCACACCAAAAGCAATTGGTTGGAATGACACCACCCTCTGGTGGTCAAAAAATAGTTACATGTACACCCAGAAGGTAAAATATTTGGAGCTGGTCATACAGATAACTATGGCTTGTTTGATCCCTTATTCATGTCATTAGCACCAACTATACTTAAAAAAAAAAAAATAGATGCAATGAATTCCAATGCATACTTCAGTAATCCACCTTGAGACCATGCTACTAAATGACAGATGTACCTTATTAGTATGTTTTAAAAGAACACATTCATGTCTGGTTGTAAGCACAAGTAGCAGAAACAGACTGGCAATAATTTTTATGTTCTCTGGCATCCTGCAAGAATAGGCACAATGCACATGGCTGTGCTTAGCTACGCAAGTGAAGGAAGTAACATAATACTAAATTCCTAAATTATTCCCAAATAAAACATAAAGCTATTACTGGAAATTTTCTGCTTTATCTCCTTGGAAAATAAGCTCTTCAGAACTGACAATCACTTTTAGTGTGTGCAAGAGGGCTCCTAGACCAACAGACTGCGGTCTCTAGATGTCACTTTAATACAAGTATTTAATAAAAACTACAACACTTCTTACAGGAAAGAAAAATGGAAGATAATTTTTCCAAATTAGTGCTGACCACATCCATAAAGGTGTGCATTGTCACCACTGAATTCAAAACAGAGTGCATAAAGTTGTGGTTAGAGGAAAAAAAACAGAGAAACCTATGTATACATGTATTAAAAGCCACGTTTCTTATTCTGATCCTTACTTCTAACAGGATATTCCTTAACTTCATCCAAAATCTTAAATACATAAAGGATATAAGTGGGTTTTTTCTTCCATATTACAGTTACTAAACATCACTGCTGAAAAAAGCAGCTGCTTCAGTCAGGGATTCCATAAAGGTGCTTTGGGATTTGTGTAATGACTTAACACAGTCACGTCTCCTGCCTTGCCTCACTCATATTTCTTGACATCTAATCTTGTACAAACAATAAAAGCCAAATATTAACCACTCTATTTTTCTCCCTTCCTCTCTTTACATTATCACTGTTCAACTGCTTTTTCCCCATTAAAAAATATAGGTGTTTCTCATAGCCAAAGGATCCTCTTGGAAGCTGAGCCTTCTGAATTATCTTTTATCCCCAAACTTAAGACCAGATGTCTCGATGGTCCTACATTTCTGGAAATGAGGAAGAGCTTGTCGCATCACTCTCTTCCAGAGAAACAATTCCGTGTTTTACAACTGTGATTTTTATAGTAGGCCGACCTTCAGCTAAAAGTAAGGGTTTCCTGTTGCTGCATGGAAGCAACATATTTGTGTATTGCCTCCTTGCAAGAAATACACCACGCAGACCTTGATCGGGCAAAAGTCATTCCTGCAAGGTCTGATAAATTGTCATCTTTAATGCCACCTTGTGGCAAAAATACTAGAGCCTAGAAATATTCAGTATTTCTCCCTTCTTGCAGGTGCATTTAACTACAACACAGTGGTAGCAGCTGCCAGCCGTGCTTGAGTTTTACAGCTCATAAACCCAGGATTTCGGCACTCCTGAAAATACAACATCAGTCAGTGATAGAGGACAACGAACAAGAAAACGCACCGCAAAATGCATTTATTCTTTTCACGGGGTGAAAACTAAGGCAGTACATCAAAGGACACATGGCACAAGCATTTGTGTGCTGAGAGCCCATGCATTTATTTCTGCCTGCAAAACACTCTTGCTGAGAGGTACAACCTGTTCCAAACATGTAAGTGCAACACAGCACTGCTGGTAGAAACTGAAGGAAAACTCAGTGCCAGCTTAGTAAGACAGGAAGCATTTATGCCAGTTACCTCACAAGATTCACCCTTTTCAATTACTAGGCACAAAAAAATTATCCTAAAGGCAGCCATGCTTGTTTTTGAGGGCCGTCCCGAGCCCGTTCGGGGCCCGCTACGAAAGCCAACATTACTATCTTCTACAGCATGAGGACAACACCTATTTTTAGCATTACTTCCACCGGAGAAGCCCAAGAACCACCACCTGCCTCCTCCTGGCGCTCCATCAAACGCCTTCCCTCCCAGCAAGCGGGTGGGAGGAGTCAGACTTGAATCAACCCACGCCCTCGCCGCTTTGCGCAGCGAGGCTCCCGAAAAAAACCCGGGGGAAACCTCTCTCAAATCCTTCAACCAGAGCAGCTGACAATACCACTTCGGGTTTATCTCACAACCCTCCGGCTGGAGGGCAGAAACCACTCTTCTTCTTCTTCTTCCTCCTCCTTCTTCTTTACCTTTACTTTTCCCCTTTCTTTTTCCTCCTCCTCCTCCTCTTCTCGCCTCGCCTCGCCTCGCCTCACCTCACCTCACCTCAGCACCCACAGCCCCCGCCCCGCGCGCGGGAAACCACCCACCGCCCCGCCCCGCCCACCTCGCCCCAGCCAGGGAGCCGCGCGCATGCGCACTGCCGCCGCCCGCCCGGGCTGACGAGGAGGAGGAGGAGGAGGCGGGAGAAGGAGACGCCGCCTCCTCTTTTCGCCTCCCCACGCCGAGAGGATGGAGCTTATTCTTTAACCGTTGTCGCCTGCCCGCGGAGAGGTCCCGTTACACTTACCCGACCGACTTGGCTTACTTCTTGTTCCCCGGGCGGGGGGGGGGGGGGAGGGCGGCGCCCTCCTCCCCGCTCACCGCGGGCTGAGGGGAGTTCTTCCCGCCTCGCTGCGGAGGGGCTGGGGGAAAGTAGAGCGCCCTTCTTCCCCCTTCCCCCCTTGTCTTTTCCACCGCAGGGAGAGAAAAACGTTATAATCCCTTCCCTGGCGGAGAGGGAAGGGGAGGGGGATCCCCTTGCCCCCACCCCTGCCAAGCCGGGCTCCCCTGCCCTTTGCTCCCCGCCAAGCGGAGGGTGAGTCAGACAACTCGCAGGCTGCAAGCAGGTGGGGACAGAAGCTGGCTTCTACCTCGGAGGGGAAGGGTGGTCGTTTTTGCCTCCCTTTCCCGCTTGCTTTCTCCCCCATATAGGTGGTGAGGCTGGACCAGGGCGAACTCCTCCGAGTCCTTCGGGCTGTGGAACTCTGGCCATGGCTGTCGGTGGGGTCGGGACCTCGCTTCTGCTGATGGCCGGCATCATGGTAACAGTGGGGCTGTGCAGGAGATTAACCCGCCGCCGGCTGCGCTCCCACCCTCGCCTTTACACTTTCCTTTTGGAGATGTGGAGCACCTTCCAGATTTGTGCCTGCACTAACGAGCTCTGCCTGCTCGGCAACGTGGAGCCGAAGCCGCACACCGCCCTCACTCTCACCTACGGTTTCACCATCCTGCACTGCTTGACTCTGACTGGCAGCACATGCAATCCCTGTGGTATTCTGCAGCCAATGTGGGGCGGTGGGATACCGGTCAAGATGGGTGGACTCAAGATCGCCGCTCAGTTCGTGGCTGCAGTGTTTGCTCGGGTGTTTATGCACTTTATCTGGAGCCTGGAGATGGCAGAGCCACATTTTGGAGCACTCTCCCAGGGCTGCAGCAACCCCATGCAGACTACAGAGACGCAGGCATTCTGCATAGAACTGCTCTTTTCTGTCGTTTTCCAGTTGACCATCCTGCGAGTGGAAAGTGTTAATCCCAAATACAGAGTCCATTTGATTGCTCTTCTCATCACCATGCTCGTGTATGCAGGTTAGTTTTTTTGTTTGTTTCGCTACTCCTGAAATAAAGCTGTAACAGAAGGATTTTTTTTATTTTCTTAAAAGTGTTAAGATGCAAAAATGTTTTTCTTAGATTACAGAAAATGCATCAAGGAAAGTCTTTGGCCCTGCATATGCAGAGTTCATTTGGAGTTTATGTGAAGTTTGCCTGTTTAGGATCCAGGCAGGTGTGGGGTTAAGAATGAAAATGAGTTACGAATTCAAAATTATGTCAAATCTACAAGTAAAAATGGTTAAGAATTTCACAGAACACTGATAAAATACCTCACTGAAAAATTGTTTCATTATCCGACTTTAAATAGCATGAGAGATTTCATACAGTATGCTCTCATTTCTAAGTGTCATTGCAAGAGAGCACCACTGTCTGCATCAGGAAGAAAATGCTGATTGTGCAAGGTCAGGGTACAGACCGGTAATATTCTGCATTTAAGTAACGCATATTTCATGCCAGTGCAGTTTACTCAACTACGTTAAATCCTTAAATCAGAAGCAGGAATGTATATTTGTAGAATGCATGGAGAAATGATGAAATAATACCTCAAGAAACCAAATGAAAGAAAAAAGTTAGGTGCCTGTTGTATCATGGCATTTAGAAAAGTCTGATGGCTCTGTAATACCCTGTGTGTCCGTGTCCTTGCCCCTGCCTGGCTGTCACCCCCTGCTTCCCAGAGCTGGGACACTGTCACCTGCGCAGCCTGGCTGGGCCAGTGGGGAGGAAGAGGTGAGTGGAGTCAGTCTGAACTGCTTTCTGCTGACTGTTGATGCTCCCAGTTCTCCCCAGTGAAATGCCAAAGTTAGGTCACTGGTCACTTGAGGACTACCCTGCAGGGAGTGGGCTGTACTGGGAAGGAGATTCTATAGTTTGGGGTACAGGGAGGTGAGAGATGGTTATGGAGCTCCTTCCTTCCGCTACAGCCCCCACCACAGAGGAAGTAATCTAGGAAATTATCTAATCCGTTTGTGAGAGAGGGAGATCACTCTTACCTGCAAACACCTGGGATGTCGTTGACATCTTGTCCAAAAGGTTCAACTCTTATGCTACCAAACATGACAGCACGTTGTAGAATAAAGCACAGTCGCATTTTCAGATATATTAATGAAAAAACGCTTATTCATTATGTTTAGCTGAAATTAGCTAGTACCTGAAAGATTAAAAGAATTCCATGGAGGATTCTGAGAATTACCTTAGCAATTTGAACTGCTTTCTAAAATTAATTTTTGAAGGCAGAAGCAAGGTGTCAGTGCATTTTAGCACATTAAATATATTCCTCAATTGCTCAGTAAAAGTGTAGCAAAAGATTATCCTCCCTCTTCTACAAGCATTGAAAGCCGGATTCCCGATTCTTAGCATTCTTTTCCTGCTTAGCAAATAGACATGCGAAATAATACATGATATTGCCTTTTTCTTCGCTAGTTCAGACAAAGAATTTGTGCCCAGTATTGTCGTCTGGCCTCATATCTAGCAGAAGACTGTGTACCAAGTCCCCTTCCTTGTCATAAACTTGGACTTGGTATGACTATCCAGTGGAATTGATCTGCATGTACTTCTAGGAAGCATCAGACCTACTGCACCTCTTCCACAGGCACAGTTTGTATTGTGTGCAGAACACCCTGTGCTTCCTGGAGGTGTTTCTTTTAATCTAGTATCAAGCATACATATTTTTACAGTAGACATTCTGGGGAGCAGATCCTGAACCCAGTTTCATCCCGTACTTTGTGGAAAATCTAATTCTTTCCTGTTCACCCTGTTCCAACCTTCCTGAGGTTTGCACTCTTTGCTGTACCCTCAGTTTCAAAAGGGAAGGTGAAAAGTGCCACCCTCCCCCTGCAGTAGTGGTGAGCCTGGTGTTTACTGTGCGCTCCTGAGATGTGGATTGAAGCCTCTTGAAGTAGAAGGCAGCGTAAAACCCAAGATTCCTATCACTCAGCTGTTATACAACGAGTGTGGGAACAGGCTGCTGCTATTAATCCTTTCTGTGATGAAGTCACAGGCTTGCACTGTTACAGATTTTTTCTGTGGAAGGTAGGTAGGTACATGTAGGATACCTCAGAGGTTCTCAAACCTTCCTTCCTCCTTCTTTCCCTTTTCCCACATGTACACACAAGCCGTTCCCCAGAATATCCTCCATTCTTCTGCCCCCTCCATTTTGGAGGCTGCTGATTGGGACCCCCTTCCCACAGTCTCTCTGCACAGCCTCCTGTCGGTGTGCCAAGTAGGTGAAGCAATAGCAAAGGGCCTGATAGGCAGCCACGACCTATGTCTGGTCCATAGATTTAACCCAAAGTCTATCCTGTGGTTCTCGTGGTGTAGCCCTAGCCATATCTGCTCCACCTCCAGTTTGAGAAATGGTGCTTTGTACATGCAGTAGGACGAGTGATTTCCAAATCGGGTGTTTTGGATAGTGGCCTCCAGCAAGCCCAGTTCTCATCTACAGGCTTTGAAGAAAGGCAGATTGCTTAATTTAGCTGGGCTGGATCATGCTCAGGAAATCTGCACCTCTTTATTAACTGTTTATAAGGAACTTTAGCACTTCTTTAAGAGGAATGGATCTTTCTTGCTCACCAGCACCAGAGCAACCAGCACAGAGTTAGGCAAAGCAATGCTAACTTAGGCAAACTGGTACCATTCTTTCTTTTTTCTACAAAAATATCAAATAGTTTAGAATATTGTATGAATGATTATTTTTCAAAATTCAATTTGGCAGATACACTGTTCTAGCTAGGAACTCAAAAAGGTGCATTAGATTACACAATAAAATTCGTGCTAATAATTTCTTTTTACACCCTGATTTTAAAAACCAAATCAATTGTGCCTTCAGGACCTGTGTTTATTAGAGTTATGAATGAATCAGAAATGTTAGAAAATATATCTCATGCATAGTTTATCATAATTCATTCCATGAATTATGTTCTGTTGTGAGTTTGAAGGTGTATCCTCTAAGAGGAATGATGTCTGTCTGAAAAGGGACCGTAAGAAGGAATATTTCTTATTCCAATCTGGGTAAAATTTTGAAGGATAGCCGTATCCTTGTGATTTACACCCGTGTAAATGTATTGATACACATACAGGGCTCAAAACCATTAAACCGTATTTATACGACTGACTGAGTGAAATTGTTGGAAAAAATAAATGTTGATAGGTAGCTGTTGTGTGTACCCCATAAACGGTACTAAGGTATGCCATCCAGTTTACTCCCAACAAATAACATCAGATTATACAGTATTTTAGAAATTATAAGATGTTTCTTTAGGTTTTTTTCTACTTTTTCATAATAATATTTGGATTTTTTTTTTTTTTTTACATTTACACAGGCCAAATTTCTATAGTATTATATACTGTACACAAGAGCCTCCAGTACTGCATTCACTTCTGTTTCTTCTACTAAACAGAAGAAAAAAAGAGAACATTAGGCCTTTATATATTAAGGGAATGATTCAGAAGCTAAGGATACAGAGCATATACATGTTGGTAAAGGATATTTTTTGATATTTCCTTTGGGAAAATATTTAATTAGGGGAAGAAGAAAATATACCTTTTGAGAGCTTTTTCATTTACAGGCAATATTGCAATGAAGTCAGAATTGTATCAAATCGGTTAGATCTTTCTGAGCCTAACGTATCAGGGTAAAAATAACATCTATATTTTTAATTCCTAGTTTCTTCCTAATTTTGGTTTTGCCTTTAGAAATTTCAAAAGTTAAAATTTGTTTCTTACACATTGCGTGGAGCACACATTACTTCACCTTTTAAAGTTTTTTCTGACTACAACAACAAAGTTATTAGACTTCTTTTGTCATAAAATAATTTATCTTTTCTGGTGCACAGGCTGAGATATTTAATAAGTATTTTTAAATACCATTATACTAGAGGCCCTGGCCTATGGTTGATATTCTAGTAGTTATTAGTAATGAATATTGAAGAAATACAGCAGTTAAAACTGTTTAATGTTCAGAAACAGCAACTGCATCCTGAGTTAAATTCTACTCTTAACTGTATGTTTGTGGATATAAAAGCAGAAGCAGTGAATTCATAAACAGAGTAAAGCAAAGTAAATTATTGTAGATGGCCTTCCTGGCAACAGTGGGAGCCGTTAATGTGTCAGGGTACAGAATAACAAACTGCACAGTAAATCTGAGTTGCTCTTGAGAACAAGCGTAAAACCAGAGTAAACTGAGTAGGTCAAAAAAGATTAAAAACTTCTCAAACGGTAATAACAGTAAAAGAAATAATAAGGAGAGTATAGAAGAAGAAATACAGAATAGGAGAGTGACAAAGACCTTACTAAAACTTGCAGTAAATGATTGCATGCTCTAAGAAATAAGAATTACAGCAGCAGGGTGTTTGTATGGAGGGAGAGTTCAAAGCTCGTGCTGGCTTGAGAAAATCAAGAGTGAGCTTTAAGAAAGTAAATATAAACAATTATATAATAGTTTATAGCAACAGGTTAATAACTAAAACAGATGTGGGGTGGTTATAAACAGCACAGAAATACAGGTAATTTTACTGAGTAATGCTTTTTCTGCAGGATTGCAGTGAGAGGGAGAACATAAATCAGAATTAAAAACACTTACCTTCAGATTCATCTGCAGGTGCAATTGCAGTTTAACCCCCACAATGCAATACGTTTGGATCTAGTTATTCAGAGGATGTTTAGGCAATTTAATTTACATCTGAAGTCAGAGACAAGTAAAGATGCTTGGCTTCTTTAAGCGTCCTTTTTCAAGAGAGGGGAGTGGGGTTTGCTTTTATTTTCTTCAAATAACATACAGAATCATTGTCAAGGCTCTTCTCCAGGTTATTACAGTATGATAATGTTAGTGTTCTATATAGTGCTTTAATAAGAAAGTATAGAGGCCAGTTTAGCAAGAAAAGCACTTGACAGTTTTTCCCATTATCTTGCATGTGTTACATGTGACATGGAGATGTAATAAAAGCTCGGTATTTGTTTACTAATATTTGTGTAATTTGTCTCTTCTAAAAGCATGATACAGACTATTAGCAAAGCAACTTACAGTTTTATCAACAGAAACATGCAATGTTAGCCAAACCCATCTCTTCAAACAGCACTTGCTAGAAAGAGATAAGGAAGTTACAGCCCACGCTTTGGATATTTTAAAGCATTTTAGAAAACAGTTAAACATCTATCATCTGGTAAATAACTTCAGAAGGGGTTGATTGTTCAAATGGTTTTGGCTATTGCAGAGTGCGCATTTCTTGTATTGTGTATGTGCCTTTCACTATTCATTTAAAATAGCAAGAAAGATGGTTTGATTTTTATATTGTTTACATTTCATTGCAGGTGGAAATCTCACAGGAGCAATATTTAACCCAGCATTGGCTTTTTCATTACATGCAAATTGTTTCTATGACAAATTTTTGAGTTACTCACTAGTATATTGGATAGCCCCATCCTTAGGTAAGTTCTTAATACTTTATGTATTTGAGCAAGTGTTATTTAGTACATGGTTCAGAAATCAGGAAATAGGTATTCTTTATTTGATAGTCTGCTCATTTTCTGGTTTAAATAAAATCCAGAAAATAATCAATTGTAACGTGTAGAAGTCAGTCAGAATCATGGTTTTGTTTTGCACATGTAGGCTGTGTATTTTAAACTTGTGAATTAAGCATCTAATACTGAGTTTTAAACACCAGGGTTTTTTCACAAAATAATATCTACTGGTTTGATGAGTTTATTTTAAGAAACAACCATATTACATTCTATAATTGTTTAGTTTAGATGTCATGTTCAAAGCCTAAGTACTTCTGGGATACTTCAAGCAAGATAAGGTACCTACCAAAAAACCACACCACCACAATTCTAAATGGAAAAAGATTAGTGTTCAGGTTAGAGTTAACTAGTTAGTTATAAACTAACAGCTGTTTACTCTGGAGCATGATCCTTTTGAAGCTGCCTGTTGGTTGGGACTTCATGCCTTCATATTAAAATCCAGCCTGTTTGAGATCTGCTGCATATACTCACACTGACCAAAGGCCCACTGTAGATTCTAGCAGAATATTAAAAAGGAGAAGAGGCCACCTGAAAGTAAATACTAGCCTGATTAAGTTCAAAAAGAGAAACATTCTGGTTAGCATGCAGTTTCAGTTTTGCTTTGTGAAAGTATGCAAGGACATGGGGATGATTAACTAAAAAAAAAATCCCATCGGTATTAGGACAAATGTTTAAAATATGCTTTCTCAATTATTACTATTAAAATATCAACACTTTTATCTCCATAGAGTCTAAACTTTGCAGTTCCCATTCTACATTTTTGCCTAAGTCACTGTTGGAAACAATCTGTTCTTAGTTTAAGTGTTCCTAGTTTAAGAACAGGCAATATTAGTAACTGGAATTTTTCAAACCTAAATTATGGTTTTAATTAGGAAGCTATTCATTTTTAACATCTAGTTGTGTGCAGATGAAAATGCTCCATGTTATACTTCATGCTGTTGATTGTTTGCAGTTAGTCCCTACAAATCTTGAGCTTTCTGCTTAGAGGGTATATAAAGAAGCAGTCAACTAATCCCAATTTCTTTCATGTCTGTTATTCCTATTAAAAGGTACAACAGTGGTATTGGGAAGAAGGTGGACTATGAAACACACTAAGGAAACATTTCAAAGGGCTCCAGTTAAATAACTTTTTCTATAAGTCCACATTTGTTCATGTTCTACTTGCGGTGACTCTCAGCCAGTCAAAAAAGGAAACAGAATTTTTAGTCAAACAAAAATTCACTTTAATAAAAATTTGTTAAATTAGATGTCCAAACAGAATGACACTGAACAATAGAACAAGCTTGATAAAACTCTGTGCACTGCAGTTAGTAGCTACTGAAATGCCTTCAGCAAAGCTGGGTCCTAATAGAACATATGATACTTGCTTAGATTTCACATTTAGCTGTCTGCTGTATTACCTGATTGCAGCCTGATATCCATGTTGAGTTTATCTGGGTTGTAAGTACTTGGCTTATTATTATATTTTGACAAGTGGTCTAAAGAAACAGGAGGTGGAACATGTTTTAGAAGAAGCATCATGTCCTATTCATTTAGCAAGATGCATCCTGCAGAACTTTGCAGAAAGCCATCAGGTGATTTTGTCTTCAGTAAGAAAATCAACAGATGTTAACACAGATGGAACCATGACTTGAGGAAGTTAGAATGCAGTTAGGATGTAACATTACATTTCTGTGAAAATTTATAAACAGCAGTTTATTGTTAGTTAACATACAGAAAATATATACAGAATGTATCGAATACTGTCTCTTAGTTTATGAGGGAAAGGAACTCCAGACCAAACAGTTGTAAAGGTGTGAAAACTCAGGAGACATCACTTTTTGTGCAGTGTCACTATGTAGTGAAACATTTTGTAACAGGTCTCAGGTCCATGGATCACCTGAAGGGCCAAGTAGTCTATTGATTATGTAAATATCTCATTACAAAACAAAGTAGCTTCATGGATATATACAGACCTTATTTGATAAACCAAGAGTTGTAAACACATGTAAGGTGTCTGAGGTGGAAGTGTAGAGGAGATAGTTATATTTGAAAACTGAATTGATGAATATAGGAGCGCAGATCTACAAATCTAACATGAAATGGAATTTTTATGACACTTTTAAAATAAGAAAATAATAGGAATAGACTTTTTTCTTCCAAAATTGGACCAAATAATGAGGTGTTTAGGAAAATGACCTGTTATGACAATAATAAAATGATTGTGATAAGAACCTCTAAACGGAATCATAAAAGTAGATGATGATGGAAGGGATATTCTAAATTTAGTTGTGAAAATTACTTTCAGAATCCATGTTTTAGCAGAAATACTGTTTCAGACATCCTAGAAACTGGAAGAGTCATAGTGATACGCTGATTTGATATCTTCACTTTTCCCAGCATCAGCATCTAGATACTTAAATTACTTTATTCTTATTTGGGGAATTCTTTTAGGAGTCTATTAGGGTGTTTTGTGATTTGCTGTAATAACTGCCATATGCAGAACCACGGACTAGCATAGCATGAAACTGCCGATTGCCTGTACAAAGTACAGTATGATCGCATTTATGGCCATAGCAAATACCCAGGAGGACGAGGAGACCCACACCTTTCAGTGTATAAGGGATACCCTGATAAGCTGCAAGCTACAACAGTTTTCTTAGAAAGGTCACTTAGAACAAGAGGAAGATTATCACTTTCAGAAGAGGAGGAGGAGGAAGTAGAAGTTTTCTTTTAGGATGAACAAATCTGCTGGTGGTTTTGGGAGTTTCATGAATATAATCTTGGAATTGTAGTTACGAACTCATTTTTCAGAATGGCTTCACTGATGTTTTAGTGAAAGCAATTCTCCAGTAGCATTAAAACAGTTAATTCCTGTAGTAAATAGAGATGTCAACAGGCATTTATGTCTTAGCATAGGCAGGCCTCAATTCTGGACTGTGAACACAGAAACAGTAAGTACCAGTGGAACAAAGATAGTTTCTGTTTTACTGCTAGAGGAATTCACATCAGTTGTCCAGGCATCATTATACCATTAGTAATGATGAGGATTAAGCTGATGCTTCTCTTTCAGTACCAGGGAGGTGGCAGCTATGAATGGAAGAGTTGGTGACAAGAGGGCAATCAAATGAGATGCTCTTTCCTGAACAGGTTGCCAGCTTAGCATCCTGCTACATTTCTAACTCTATAAACAGGATCAATGCCCACTTCTTTAGATCAATTTTACCAGAAAGACTAGTACTATTCCTTAGAAGGAAAATTTTTTTCACCATCAAGATAGAAAATAAATGCCACAAAAGTCACTTAGCAGTAGATGTAAGTGGAGGAGGTAGGCAAGGGAGAAGGCTATAGGTGAAACTTTCACCTTTGCTCAGAGGATGGTATTCAGAAGTTTCCATCTAGTTCAGTACGCTTAAGCATGGAGCTTAGCAAAGAAACAAGAATTGAAAGTCCACATGCAGTGAAGTGATCAGCATCTTGGGGACTTGGTAGCAAAGAAGGGTTTCAACAAACAACTGGCAGAAGTTTCCTACTCCCAGACCCTGGTCCTCCTAGGGGTTTTCATCATCTGACAGAGCAAAACTCTTATGCAGTGAGTGAATGCAATCCAAGAAGTTCTTAGAAAACTGTCATTAATCAAGTCTAGTTCAAATACTAAGGGGCCAGTGAGTGGTAATCCTGTACTTCACCTGCTTACAGAGAACGGGTGGTGAATTTGGCCACTTGGATTGTGCTCATGAGAGTTCAGGGTCCAGAGGAAGACTGGGAACGTAAAGAGCAAAGCTGTTCAGACTTTGGACTTCAGGAGAACAAAATTCTGCTTATTTAGGGAATTGCTAGGTCAGTAATTCCCTCAGAATCTGACACAAAGCGGAGAGGTATCCCATTGAAAGGTGATTTTTCAAAAAGCTTACTGAGACCTCAGTAACACATTTTGATGTGGAGGAACATCTATCGTGTAGTTAGACTGGGAATTTTGACACAAAGCCTTGCCACGCTGGCTAGACAGGAAGCTTGGCTATGAACAAAGGAGAGCATTTAAGAAGCAGAAACAGGGACAGGTGGCAGAGGAAGAGGAGAAAAGCTTTGCACATGTCCTTAGGAACAAAATCAGGAATGCCAAAGCTCAGCTGGAACTAAGGCTAGGGACATACAAGGTTACAAATACACTAATCAGTCACAAAAAAAGTCCAGAGAAAATGTGGGTCTGTTGTGGATGAGGGAGACAGTGTGGTGATGGGTGATGTAGAAAAGGCTGAGGTATTCTTCCTGTCCCCCATCCCCGCAGTGTTCGCAAGCAAAGCTTGCTCCAAAACCTCTGTAAAACAGTAAAGTTTTGGAAAGGATGCAATAAATAGTGAGGGAACAACAGGGTAGGAATGACAGAGAAGCTGGATGAATGCAAATCCATTGGCTCTACCAATATTCACCTAAAAATGCAGGTAGAGTTGGATGATGTTCTTGTTGCCCATCATTTATGGGAAGTTACAGCAGTTGGAGGAGCTTCCTGGCAATTGGAAATGTCCTAATACTATGCCTGCTTTTAAGGAAGAGGAGGAGGAGAAAAAGAAGCCAGAGACCTGTAAGCTAGTTGGTCTTACCTCAGTCACTGGGAAGATGGTGGAGTATCTAATCTTGGAAACCATCTCCAATCATGTAAAAACCATAAAGGTAATTGGGAATGGTCAGAATAGATTTAGTGAGGGCAATCTGTGTGGAGCCGTGGACGAACGACACGCCGAGACGGGTTCAATGTGGAAGATAGACCATCAATCAATCCATGTGTTTATTGGTCCAGGGTACATATATTTATACAGACAATGATAATTATTATGCCTACTAGTCACTAGCTGATTGGCTTAAACTCTAAAGGTTGTATTCGCACGGTCCACCTACTTGCAGTTAGCTTACAGCACAAGCTTCTCATAACACTAAGTTTCTCATGTTACTATTTCTAATTCCTCTTGACTTGTTTTTGATACACAACGGTACCATAACACAATGTTTCTCAGACCATTGTTACCATAACACTAGGTTTCTCAGACCACTATTCCCAATTCCTCTCAACCTGTTTTTGACACACCACGGTACACAGGGCTGAAGCGTCCTTGACAATCTTCATGTATCAGCAGCTGCGAGCAGCTGCAGGCAAACCCTAGTGAGGCCCAGCATCAGCCCCTAGAACAGGCTCTGATCGTACAATTGCTCGGTGGGCTCAGGACCCTTGTCTCTGAGCCATTCTCCAACAAATCTGTGCTCAGCCAGCTCGATTGCCTTCTGTGATGAAATGTCTAGGGAAATAAGCGGAGAGCAGTGGACGTAGTATAAATTTCACTTTAGTAAGGCTTTTGACACCCTCTCCCACATTTATTCTTGTTTCAAGTAAGTAGGAGGTCACACAAAAAGACTGTTAGATGGAATAAAAGTTGGCCAAACTACTGATCTCAAAATGCACCGATCAATGAGCTGACATCTGGTTGGTGGCCAATAACATGCAGAGTATGCTGGTGTCGGTATTGGAGCTGCTGTTCCTCAGTATT